AATGCAGTGCTGAGGGGTTTGCAGGGTCCTGGAAGGGTGACTGCAGTGCTGAGGGGTTTGCAGGGTCCTGGAAGGGTGAATGCAGTGCTGAGGGGTTTGCAGGGTCCTGGAAGGGTGAATGCAGTGCTGAGGGGTTTGCAGGGTCCTGGAAGGGTGAATGCAGTGCAGAGCGGTTTGCAGGGTCCTGGAAGGGGAATGCACTCAGGCTCTCGGTGCCGGAGGAGTGGCAGCTCGCAGCTATGAGAGGAATGGCAGGAATTGCCGGAGGAGCGCGGGATCAGCGCATATTTCCGCGCTGCCGTCACCGGGCGGGCAGGTGGCACCGCGGGCTGGAGCGGCCCGGGAGCCGTGCCAGGGCTGGTTCCCGGCGTGGCCCTCAAGCCGGGACAGGCCCGGCTTCCCGGCCGGTTTCACCCTCGTCACCGCCGTGCCGAGCCCGCGTTTCGGTTGGGAAAGGTTTGGCTGAGCCCAGGGAAAAGGCAGGGATGGCTCCGCGGGACCCGCGCCTCCTGCATCCCGCCGGGAGCGGATCGATGGATCAATCAATCAATAAATGGGTGAAAGGGCAAGAGGCTGCTCCGAGCCAGATCCGTGATGGGAGAGGAGGAGGAGGAGGAGGAGGAGGAGGAGGAGGAGGTGTCTCCTCGAGCACGGAGCCGCTGCTGAGTCACGGCTCGGCAGAGCCAGCTCTGCTGTCACCGCTCTGTCACCGCTCTGTCACCGCTCCGTCACCCGCTGCTGACTCAGGAGCTGCTTTTTCCCGGGGGAAACAGCCCAAAATCGGGGCTCTGCCGGGCTCGGAACAACGCCGGGACCGTCACTCGGTGCTGCCGTGACGTCGGGGCCGTGCGGGACACCGGGAGGGCGGCACAGCCTCGGCTCCCCGCGGTCCTGCCCACAGCACCCGTGGGAATGTCAGCACAAAACACGGGATTTGTGACGGTGCCAGCCTGGGAGTTTGGGCATGGAACCCAGCAGAGATCTGGGGCTGCTCCTGAGTCAGACCCAGCTGCTGAGGACGTGGCTCTGAGCATCCTGCTTTTAGTCCAGAATATCCAAACCGCTTGGAAACATCAAATCCTGATCATTTCCAAGGTTCATCCCGACTTTAGTGCTTTCCCTAAACCAGGCAGGAGTGTTCCTGGGGGGTTTGTGCCCCAGCCAGACCCTCCTGAGATGTGTTTGCATCATTCCCAAACCTCTCACCTGCACCCTGGGATCCCATATTTCCCAACCTCCCTCCCAGCTTTGTCCTTGCCCTCGGGCCAACTGTGGGTGATCCCTCACAGCCCTTGTGCTTTTGTATTCCCTGAACTCAGTGGTTGTGTGCTGCAGTGTTTTCCAGCTGCTGGGAAATCTTTCTGTCAGCGTTCCCTGGGATCTGCCGGATCCCTGCGCTGTGGAGGAGCAGGGAGAGCAGCCAGGAGAGCTGCAGTGACTTCATCCCTGCTGGAACAACTCCCGGCGCCACCAGAGCCATTCCCGAAAATCGGGAATGTTGTCCCAGAACGCTGCTGCTGCTGCTGCTGCTGCCGGGATCAGCTGGGAAGTGCTGCAGCAGAAATTGGGGGAGATTTGTTTGTGCTGAGCGAGGGCTGGGGGTGACTCAGGCAGGGGCGAGCGGGGCCTGTGCTGAGTCACGGAGCAGATCCAGGCACGGAGAGTCAGCGCTGGCCCGGCTCCAGCAGCGGCAGGAGGAGGGCCCAGGCCAAACTCCAGAGCTTTGCCCCCCTGGCAGAAGGAATTCTGGCTCAGTGGGAGTCATTTCTTCGCTTTTGGAGGATGTGCAGGAGACCTGGGTGTCCCCACTGTGCTGTGCTTCCTGCCCAGGCCTGGCTGCCAAGGTCACATCCCAGTCCTTTCCCAACACTGATTTCCCTAAAAAATGGGCAGAGGGAGGATGGAGCTGGATCCAAAACCAGGGCAGTGTTGGATCCACACCAGACACTGCTGGATCCACACCAGGGCACTGCTGGATCCACACCAGGGTAGTGCTGGATCCACACCAGGGCACTGCTGGATCCACACCAGGGCAGTGCTGGATCCACACCAGGGCACTGCTGGATCCACACCAGGGCAGTGCTGGACCCACACCAGACACTGCTGGATCCACACCAGGGCAGTGTTGGATCCACACCAGGGCAGTGTTGGATCCACACCAGACACTGCTGGATCCACACCAGGGCAGTGTTGGATCCACACCAGGGCAGTTCTGGACCCACACCAGACACTGCTGGATCCACACCAGGACACTGCTGGATCCACACCAGACACTGCTGGATCCACACCAGGGCACTGCTGGATCCACACCAGGGCAGTGTTGGATCCACACCAGGGCACTGCTGGATTCAAACCAGGGCACTGCTGGATCCACACCAGGGCAGTGCTGGATCCAAAACCAGGGCAGTGTTGGATCCACACCAGACACTGCTGGATCCACACCAGGGCAGTGCTGGATCCACACCAGGGCAGTGCTGGATCCACACCAAGGCAGTGCTGGATCCACACCAGGGCAGTTCTGGATCCACACCAGGGCAGTGTTGGATCCACACCAGGGCAGTGCTGGATCCAAAACCAGGGCAGTGTTGGATCCACACCAGACACTGCTGGATCCACACCAGGGCAGTGCTGGATCCACACCAGGGCACTGCTGGATCCACACCAAGGCAGTGCTGGATCCACACCAGACACTTCTGGATCCACACCAGACACTGCTGGATCCAAACCAGGGCACTTAGGGATCCACAGCCTGGGCCCTGTTGTGGCTCCAGCACTGCCCTGGTGTGGATCCTCAGGATGCTGCAGGAACAGGGATGGGGGTGGGAACAGCTCCCAGAAGTTCTCTGAACTCTCCCTGGGCTGATTCATCAGCCTCGCTCCATAAACAGGAAGCTGAGAAAGTACAGACAGGTGATTCTGTGCTGCTGTAAACACTTGGAAACACAAATTCCTTGAATTTTTTTCCCCCCAGCTGCCTGCTAACTCTTGTCCAGGTGGACTTTCTGGCAGTGTCTGCAGCGGGAAGGGCTCTCGGGGTCACGGCACGGGTTTGGAAGGAGCTGGACTTGGACACACAGCTTTTCCCTGCCCCAATCCCATTGCAGAACCTGGGATTGGGGGGGGATTCAGATCCCCCTGTGGGATTTAGCGCTGATTGCTGCTTCTCTCTACTTTTGGGAGGGGAAAGAAGGAAACTGGGATTTGCTGGGATGCTGGGGAGATGCAGCTGCGCTGTTTTGGAGCGCCTCAAACCGGAGCAGGAGCTCCTTCCCCAGGGAACAGCCGCCTTCCTCCTGTCGTTTTCCACAGAACCAGAGCTGATTTCACCCTGGCAGCTTTCCCCGGGCTGGCTTGACCGAACTTCCAGGACGGGAGAGGTGGAGATTTCCAAACAGCCCCGCTAATTCAGGGAATCCTCCCGCTGCCGCCGGGAACGCGGGGCTGCAGCGCCGCTTGTTTTCCCCGCTCCCTTCCCGAGTGCTGCTCGGGGACTGAGGAGCTGAGAACACGCTGGGATGCGGCTGCCAAGCAAAATAATCCCTGAGAGTGCCCTTGTGGTCTGGAATAGACTCCCGAAATGTCTAAACATAGGCGAGACAGCGAGGATTTGGGATGGGACGGGCGCTCCCACCCCGATCCCGCCGGGAACGCTCAGCTTTGAAGCTGCCAGGCCGGGGAGAAGGTTGGAGGAGCCTCTAATTAAGCCATGGAAGGGCTGCAGTGGGCGGCTGGCGGGGCCGGGAGCGCCGGCGGGATCCCACGCCGTGTTTGCTTTGGCTCCTTCTCCCCTTGGAATCGTCTCCGGGGCCGGTGGGGGGACGGGAGCGGCCCCTGTGCCCTGGGAAGGAGCGGTCAGGGCTGAGTCAGTGACGGGAGGTGGCAGCTGTGACACCTCCACAGGGCTGTCACACAGGGAACGGGCTGGGGATGGTGTCTGAGAAAGGGAACGGGCCGGGGATGGTGTCTGACAGGATTGGGGATGGTGTCTGGCACAGGGAATGGGCTGGGGATGGTGTCTGAGAAAGGGAACGGGCTGGGGATGGTGTCTGACGGGGCTGGTGTTAGTGTCTGACACAGGGAATGGGCTGGGGATGGTGTCTGACAGGGTTGGGATGGTGTCTGACATTGGGAATGGGCTGGGGATGGTGTCTGACAGGGTTGGGATGGTGTCTGCCAGGATTGGGGATGGTGTCTGACACAGGGAATGGGCTGGGGATGGTGTCTGACAGGGTTGGGATGGTGTCTGACACAGGGAATGGGCTGGGGATGGTGTCTGACAGGGCTGGGGATGGTGTTTCACACAGGGAACAGGCCAGGGATAGTGTCTGACAGAGGGAGCAGGCCAGGGATGGTGTCTGCCCGAGGGATTCATCGTGGCCAGAGCTGCCCCTGGAGTGCCCAGCCCCAGGACGAGGGGGATTGTTTTTGTCTCGTGGAAAAAAATCCTTCAGTTCCTGCTGGGAAACCGAGGAACGGGGTTCAGGCCGTGTCTGGGCATTGTGGGGGTGCAGGGGCACGGCCCCATGGTCAGGTGGGACAGGACCCCACAGAGACAAGACCCCATGGGCAGGACGGACATTAATCCTGTGAGAAAGACAGACGTGGTCCCAGGGACACAACCCCAGGGCAGGTTGGACATGACCCTCATGCAGGTGCCACCTGCCCAGGTGCCAGGGACCCCAAAGCCACCAGGGCTGCTCCAGGTGCCCAAGGGGGTCTCTGCCCCCGGGGCTGTGCTGAGGCAGAGCTTCCCTTCCGCAGAACCAGGCGGGTTTTTCCGCTCTCCTCAGCAGAGCTTTTCACAGAACTCCTGGAAAGGGGATCCTGAGGGCTCCTTCAGGAAAAAGCAGAACTTGAAACAACCTCAGGAAGCATCAGTGGGGCCACCAGAGCTCCTTTTACACGTGGCCATGGGGTCAGTCTTGAGGTGGGCGAGCTTTAGGGTCCCTTCCCAGCCGTTCCACGGTGTTGGGATGGAGCAGTGTCCGTGTTTTCTGCAGGATTCTCCTGTGCTGGGCCCGGAGCCGATGGCAGAGAATGTCCACGACTAACAACATAGCGCAGGCCCGGAAGCTGGTGGAGCAGCTCCGCATCGAGGCCGGGATCGAGAGGATCAAGGTGAGGATGGGAGCAGGAAGAAATCCCAGCTTGGGATGTCCCCAGCGTTCCAGGATTCCCTCCTGCATCTGGAGTGGCCTCCAAGGAAGCTGGAGAGGGTCTCTCCATCAGGATTTGGTGACAGGGATGGAAAGAGGGGAATTTTAGGGTTGGTGTGTGTGGGTCTCAGATTCAGTCAAAGAGAGAAACGGAGAGTTTCTAGCCAGGCAGAAGCCTGGGAAAGAGTTAGAAAAAATGTAAATAATTCTTTATCTCTCTTATTATTCACATTGTTTATAGTTAAGTTCTATCACTGTGCATCAAGCACTTTTACACCAATAGTGTGAATTGTTTTCACTTCAGGACCAATAGAATTGGTCCTCACAAAGCTATATATATATAAAAGAGCAGTATATTTAAAATAAACTAAAGTTTTACTCTCACAACCTTCTAAGTCAGAATCTTCTCATCCCCATCCTACCTCAACAGCCACAGGTGTGCAGAAGGAATTCTCTCCCTGGCACAGAGCAGCTCTGGCTGCCCCTGGATCCCTGGGAGTGGCTTGGAGGAAAAGAGGAACCTCCAGACGTGGCTCCATCTCTGCCCTGTGTCATTAAGGAAATTGAAATTGAAAAATGGCACCGGGAAATCCCTGGCAGCTCCCTCGGGATTCGGAGCCTCCTCTGATCCCTCCAAGCTCTCCCTTCCCAAAAAACAGCTCGGAACTAAGCCAAGCAGTGCCTTCAACTAAGGTTTTCCAAACCTTAACAAGAGGCTGTGCTCAGGGAATCTTTTCCTTCACTTTTTCATCCCAAATCCCTGAAAAACACGGCTATGATAATATCCCTTTTAAATCCTTAAGGGAAGAGCTGGATGTAAATCCCCAAAAATCCTGCAAGCGCTGGAGTATTCCCGAGCTGGGAATATTTCCATAAATTCCTGCTTTCTTCTCCAATATCCAAGTCTTTAAAGCATCCTCAGAGCTCATCCCAAATCCCTGAAAAACACAGATACTATATTCCTTTTAAATCTCCCAGCTGGGGCATTTCCCCACACTCCTCACTGTAAACTCTGATTTTCCACGCCCAGTTCCCATTTTCCTCCTCATCTTCACAAAGTTTCTGTCGGGAAAAGCCGAATGTTCAAACCCCAAAAATCCTGGAAGCGCTGGGGTGACTTTTGAGGTGCGATTATCCCCCAAATTCCTGCTTTTTTTTCTTCTCCCCAAAATCCAGGTCTCCAAAGCTTCCTCGGAGCTGATGAATTATTGTGAGCAGCATGCCCGGAATGATCCACTCCTGGTGGGAGTTCCTGCTTCCGAGAATCCCTTTAAGGACAAAAAACCCTGTATCATCCTATAGCTCCGGATCCCTCCGGAAGGGAATTCCCATCCAGCCTCTGGATCCAGGCTCCTCCACACCTCCACCTGCGCCCAAGGGTAAAAACTCAACGCTGGCTTCAAACAGAACTTAAAAATTCCTGAGAAAAACAAAAAAAAAACAAAACAAAAAACCCTGAGAAAAACAAACAAACAAACAAAAAACCCAAGGAAAAAAAAAAAACACCCAAAAAGAATCCTGAAAAAAGTAAATTTGGAAGCGGGGGTTTTTAGGGAAGGGGTGGCCGCTTCCTGGGAAAGAAGGTGGGATTAAAAATTGGAATTGGGATTTTCAAATTTACCCAGGGTTGAGGGAGGAAAGGAGGGAGGGATTTTTTTATTGGGATATTTGGATTTGGGAAAGGGGTGGTGGTGGAGGAGGAGGTGGGGGGGGTCATTCCCAGTGGGATGTGAGAGCTGGACCTGGATCCAACCAGAACCTGATCAGCAGGAATTTCCTCTGGAGAAGGGATCAGGTGGGAGCCATTTTTGTAGAAAATCAGTACAAAAAAATAAAAAAAAACCAAAAAAAAATCCCCAAATCCAGCTGGAAAAAAATCCCTGTTGGGAATGGCCAAAGGGAGGCTGGGGAGGCTTTTCCCTACATCCCACGGCTCCGCTGGGATCCAGGGATGGCCCTGTGGGGGAATTCCCAGCTGGGAGAGATCCCAGGAGGAATTTTAGGGAGCCCCAGGGGTGGGAGAGGCCGGGATCTTTGAGGGGTCTCTGTGCTGTCCCCAAATTCACGGAGGGAGGGAAGAGAAGGGAAGGGAAGGAGCTTCCTGTTGCATCCAGAATCTTGGAAAAATTGACTTTTTGGGGGAATTTCCACCCAAATCAGCAAATTCCTGGCGTTTCCCGTCTCCCTTTTCCACACTGGAATTCTTCCCACTAAATGCAGAGCCTGGGAAATGTCCAGGGAAGTTTAGGGCAGGTGGGGAGGGGGAGTGGAAGGACCAGTTCTGTTCCCATCCCGTGGGAATCTGGGAATGGGATTGAACTGGGAGCGCTTGGATCTCACGGGGATGAGCCGGTGCGAAGCGGGGAGCAGGGAAAAGGGGATCCAGGGAAAGGGGGAGCAGAAAAGGGGGATCCAGGGAAAGGGGGAGCAGAAAAGGGGGATCCAGGGAAAGGGGGAGCAGGAGATGCTTCCATGGAGCCTTGGAAAGGGCTGGGGCTGGTGGATGCTCGGGAGAGCTCCGGGAATTCCCGCGGAGTGGCCGCCGGATCTGTGGGGAAGGGACAGATCCCGGGATTTGGGTGCAGTGTCTGAGCCCAAGCCACGTCCCCAGGGCCCATCCTGGGGCTCAGCAGCTCCTGGGAGATGTTCCCAAAATCCCAGAATCCGTGAGGCTGGAAAAGATTTCCCAAGAGCATCGTAGGGAGAGGCCATTCCCGGTTATCCTGAGCCCAGGTTTTTAGGAAGAGAAGGGATAAAAATAACCCAGCCACACCTGATGTGAAATCCTGGGGGTTTCCCCATTCCCCCCAAAGCTTTGGATTGGGTTAGGAACGCCAGGGATCCCAGCATGGGACAGGGAGCAATTCCCATGGGAAGGGATTTGCAATTCCCTGGATTCCCGGTAAATCCCCGCGGCCCAAACTGGTGCTGCTGGTGCGGGCTGGGCACCGGGAGCGCTCCGGCCCTTTTCCAGAGGCGGATGGAATTCCCGGGGGGCCGCTCCACGTCCCCTCCTCGGCTGCAGGAATGTCGCCGTTCCTTCTTTGCAGTCCGCCGTCATTTGCCTTTGCGACAAAAGTCGGGAAAACGCCACGTTTTTAACACTAAAAGCTGCGCGGCTTTTCCTGGGAATGCTCCCCGCAGTGTCCCGCAATTCCAGGGCTCGGGAATGTCCCCCCCCATCCCTTGAGGGGGAGCAGAGCAGGGAAAATGGGATCATTTCCCAGGAATTTCCCTTCCTGTCCCTCAGCCCCAGCAAAGCCTTTTCTGGAGAGTTTGATCCCAAATCCCAAATCCCAAATCCCATCCCGCTCCACGCTCTGCCCGCCGGGAATCACGCGAGGAATCCCGAGTCCAGCCCGGGATTCCTTCTCCAGGAGGGAATTCCCTCTTGTCCTTAATCTCTCGGACAGTTCCAGCCTTATTTTTCTACTCCAGATCTGATTCTTCCTCTGTGTTCGAGACCAGAGCTTGGTGCTATCCTTGGAGCCGGGGCTGGGCCGGGAATTCTTCCTCCTCCTCCTCCTCCTCCTCCTCCTCCTCCTCCTCCTCCTCCTCCTCCTCCTCAGGGGCTCCAACCCCCCATCCCGGGAGAATCCCGTGGGATGTGAATCCCAAGGGGAGCTGGGTCAGACGCTTTGGGGTCGCTCTGCCTCCCCCATCCCGGGGTCCTGCCCGAGCCAAAGCCACGCTGGAGCCGGGAGAGGGGAAAGGGAAAAGGGAAAAGGGAGAAGGGAAAAGGGAAAAGGGAAAAGGGAGAAGGGAAAAGGGAAAAGGGAAAAGGGAGAAGGGAAAAGGGAAAAGGGATGGGAGAAGGGAAAAGGAAAAAGGGATTGGAAAAGGGAAAAGGAAAAAGGGATTGGAAAAGGGAAAAGGGATTGGAAAAGGGATGGGAGAAGAGAAAAGGGATTGGAGAAGGGAAAAGAGAAAAGGGATTGGAAAAGGGAAAAGGGATGGGAAAAGGGAAAAGGGAAAAGGGATTGGAGAAGGGAAAAGGGAAACAAGAAAAGGGAAAAGGGATGGGAGAAGGGGAAAAGGAAAAGGGAAAAGGGAGAAGGGAAGAGGGAGAAGGGAAACGGGATTGGAAAAGGGAAAAGAGAAAAGGGATTGGAGAAGGGAAAAAAGAAAAGGGAAAAGGGATGGGAGAAGGGCAAAAAGGAGATGGGAAAAGGGAAAAGGGATTGGAGAAGGGAGAAGGGGAAAGGATTTGGGGAAGAGGGATCGGGAGTAGGGAAAGTAGCTGGGAAAAGTGAAAAGGAGCCAGGAGAAGGAACAAGGAGGCAGGAAAAGGGTCAGGGAGAAGGGAAAAGGGGTTGGGAAAAGGGAAAAGGAGCTGGGAAATGGTCACAGAGAAGGGAAAAGGGGTTGGGAAAAGGGAAAAGGAGCCAGGAAAAGCCGGGAGAAAAGCCATGGAGCTTCTCCCATGGGATCCCGGAATGCCGAGGGTCCCACCAGGAGTCGGGGGTGGGAGCTGCTGGCAGGTGCTGGTGTCTCCATGGGTGACTCGTTTTTGTTGGGAAAAAAAAATCTCAATTTTTCTTTTCTTTTTTTCTTCTTTTTTTCTTTTTTCACACCTTTTTTTTTTTTTTTTCCCCTTTTTTGCTTTTTTTCTCCCGGATTTTTCTCCTTGTCCGAGTAAATCCGTGCTCATGCCGTGGGTGTTTTTGTATGGCAGAAATAGAAGTGCAGATTCCCAGTAGTTGTTTGTACTTTGTTTAGTGCATTTGCCAAATAAATTTATTTAAAAAAAAAATTTAAAAGAAAAAAAAAAGGAAAAAGGACAAAAAAAAACACCAAAAAAAAAAAAAAGGGGGGGGAAAGGAGGGGGGAAAACCACAAAAAAAAAGACTTTTCAGAACTTTCTAAGTGCTGGAAGGGGGAGCAGGAGGAGCTGGAGCCCAGCTCCACAAAAGCCTTTTTTTTTTGGGATTTAACCACATGCCCAGATCTGTCCGGCCTTTCTTTATGGGATGTGGTGAAGCCAGTGCCAAAAATAGAAATCTGGGAATAAAAGGGCCAGGGAAACATTGCTCCTGTTCCAGTTTTCCTCCCTTTGCCTCGCCCTCCCCTCCCTGTCTCGGGGGATGGAGCCGGGACACCCCGGAGCCTCTGGATCCCCAAATGCCCCTTTTATTTTTCCCCCCCTAAAGTCCTTCAAAATCCACCTTTATTTAACAAAATCCCAATAATTCATTTACTCCGAGCCCACGTGGGATCCTTGGCGCTCATTTTCTCCTTCTCTCTGGTCTGTCAATCAAATGATCATTAATTATTATTATTATTATTGTTGTTGTTGTTATTATTATTTGCCAAACTCTGATCTCGTTGCCAAACGCCAATCCAGGTTTTTTTCCGGACTGTCCGTAGGAAGTGGTCGGTGTCTGTGCCGTAGGCTCCTCATCCGTCTGCAATTCCCGGGTTTTTTTTGGGTTTGTTTCGTTGATTTTTCCCTTTCTCTGTGCCATAGCCCCGACCCCTCCTCGCACCGTGTTTAATATTTCGTGGAATCGTTGTTCCCAAGTGAATGGATAACACAATAAAAACGGCTCACTTTGCATTTGGCCGATTTCCTGCGCCTGCCTGTGCTGCGCTGAGGGGATCGGGAATTCCGGATCCTCCGGGATCCCATGGAAACCCCCCGGGGATCCCCTGTCCCCTCTTCCCCCCTTGGCAATCCTCCACTCTTGGAATTCCCTATTCCCATCCTCGGGAATCCCCCACTCTCTTCCCACCCTTGGGAATCCTCCACTCTCCAAATTCCCTGTTCCCACCCTTGGGAATCCTCCGCTCCCGAAATTCCCTGTTCCCACCCTTGGCAATCCTCCACTCTCCAAATTCCCTATTCCCATCCTTGGGAATCCCTCACTCTCTTCCCATCCTTGGGAATTCTCCACTCTTGAAATTCCTTATTCCCATCCTTGGGAATCCTCCACTCCCGAAATTCCCTGTTCCCACCCTTGGGAATTCCCCACTCTCAGCATTCCCTGTTCCCACCCTTGGGAATTCTCCACTCTCAGCATTCCCTGTTCCCACCCTTGGGAGCTGCTCCTGTCGCCGTCCCTGGATGCTCGGATGGGATCGGGAATGCCGATTCCCAGGAACTGCAGCCCCTCAAGGATCTCAGCTCCTCAGAAACCCCCTTATCCCACCCTTGGGAATCCCGCAATTCCCAGGGATTCCCTTTTCCCACCCCTGTTCTCTCCATCCCTGGCGGTTCCTCCACGGGAATCTCCTTTTTCCCGGGAATCTCCGGAGCTGTCCCATCCCACGGGAAAACCAAACCCAGCGCTGCATTCCTTCCTTTTTTTTTTCCGGGAAAAGCGCTCCCGGCCCGTGGAGCTTCCCCGCTGGAAAATCAGCGGGATCCGGGCCGGGAGCGAATCCTTGGAATGCGCCGCGGGCCGGGAATTGTTGGGATTTTTCAGCGTCTGCTCCAAAAACGCGGCTGGGAGGGGCGGGATGGGCAGGGGGACAAGGACGGGGGACAAAGTTGGGGTGGCAGCAGCTCAGTGTCCCTGTCCCCCTGCCGCAGAACCCCGACCTGCCCCCAATTCCCGTCCAAACTCCGGGACACCGGGAGCGCCTCCGGGACACCGGGAGCGCCTCCGGGACACCGGGAACGCCACCGGGACACCGGGAACGCCACCGGGACACCGGGAATGCCACCGGGACACCGGGAATGCCTCCGGGACACCGGGAGCGCCTCCGGGAATTCGCTGCCAAGCGCCGGAGGTGGCAGCGGGTGGCGGTGCCAGCGCCGAGCGACACCGGCCGGGTGGCACCGGCTTGGGAGCGGCTAAAAATAACCAAAAATAACCTTCCGGGTTATTTTTAGCCTGGCTGCCGCTCTAATTAACTCCCTGCCGCCCTAATTAACTCCTTGCCACCGGGAAGGCACCGGGTGGCCCAGGGACAGCCGCGGGTCCTCCCGGTGCCACCGGGGCGGGGACAGCAGCGGGGTCACCCCCCCTCCCTGGGACCCCCCCCATGACCGCGGGGACTCCGTGGAGGATCCCACGATGTCCCCACGCGGGTGACACGGGGACACCCGTGACGCAATGGGGCCACCACGGTGACATCAGGGAGGGACATCCTGCTCCGGGCGTCACCGGCGGGGGAAGGGTGGTGGTGGTGAGGGGGGGAAACAGCTCCGTGCCTCAGTTTCCCCCAATTCCCAGAGGTTGGGGGTGTCGGGATGGTGCCCCCCCGGTTTCTCGTCGCCGGTGTCGCTGCCAGGGTGGAGCCGGAGCCCGGGAGCCGCCGGAGCCACCGGAGCCACCGGAGCCGCCCAGGCCAGACTCATAAATCAGCGGCTCCGGCGCGGCTCCGGCCCTGCCCTGTCTGGCTGCGGCCGCCCCAGAGCCGGGAAGGGGCCGGGAAGGGGCTCGGGGCCCCCAAACCCCACCCGTGTCACCCCCCGGGACCTCCCGCCCCGTCCCGGTGTCACCCCCGCGGCAGCATCTCAGCCCCCCAAACCCCCCCCCCCCACGTGTCGCCTTTTTGGGGGGTGCCCAACACCCATCCTGCACCCCCAGGGCTGGCTGCGACCTCCTAATTAATTATTAATGACCTAATTATCACCCAGGGTTGAATTATCCCGCGCTGTCCAGGCAGGGGGGTCGCGGTGGTGATGGGGGGTCCCCCCAGGACCCCCATTCCCAGCCCTGGGATTCCTTTTCCCGGCGCTGGGAGGTGCCGAGGGGGGGTGGGGGTGAGTGAGGGACCCCTCCCCGAACCCCCAAACCTCCCCCGCGTGTCCGGGCCCGCTCCGTGGGGTGCAGAGTTGGGGTCAGAGCCCGGTCCCGTCCCATTGTCCCCACCCCGGCTGGGGGGACTTTTGGGGGTCCATGGGTTTGGGGTCCATGGGGGGGGGGTGTCTGAGGGGGTTTCTGGGCCCCGGCTGCTGTTTGGGGTGACTCGGGGTGTCCCTGGAGGGGACACGGCGACACCGTGGGTGGGTGGCATGTGCGTGACCCGGCCCCGGGTGGGTGATTTTGGGGGGTCTGGGGGGCACAGGGGAGGTTTGGGGGGCCGGTCACCCCTCGCAGCCCCGTGACACAGCGGCGGTCTGACACACC